GTGTCTCCTGCAGAGAAAGCTCGGCACTGCTTGTCTGGTTTGTAGCGCGTCTCGCCACTACGCCACCGGTTCAAATATCACACACACGAATTCTGAAAAAGTTGTTAAAAATAGTTCTGGCGCTGTTTGCTAGCCCTTGTTTTATCCATTACTTTTAATGACTTCACGCCCACTTCACTTAATGACTTAGAGTCCGTGACTTCACTGATGTCATGAATTGTGTGTATTACAGAATCTACCATATCACTTACAATGTGCTCACTCAATTACTCCTTGGCGTGCCTCTTGAACTCGTTCATCAATGGCGTGTAATCGTCGTTTATTTAGCTGGAGTTTTATCTGGTCAGTTTCATGTCCATCTCTTTCTGTATCTGGTGATAAATGGTGAAATTTCAGGCTCACTCCTGGTCTCAGCCGTTGATCCCCACGTCTTTCTTGCGGGTGCCTCTGGAGGTGTCTATGCCCTTCTTGCCGCTCATCTTGCTGAGCTCATCATGAACTGGTCAGAGGTAGGTGGTCTTGATGTGGTGTATTTTCACGGGTTTGATATAGCTGTGTGAGCAGGGAAGGGCAGGCAGGGGGATACCACAAGGGCGAACTTTGCCCAGTAACACCTTTACTACCCCCCTCCCTCCCCGAATAGAACACGAACACATCGTGGGCGAAAGCGGATCCGTTAGTTTACCGTAGTAAGTAGTGATGCTTCGCAGCTAGCCACCAACCACGACCCTCTCCATTGAGCACTACTTAGCTGCGACCCCCCCTGTTTGAGGATTTGTTTGGGAATGATGATGTCCGGGGTTAAATCTCGGATCGGCTCCTGCCTGACCATCCAAACCCCTCCCCCTCCAGAGGTTGGTACCATACTTGTGAAGGGGAATAAGAATACCGATTCATATTTAGGCTAGGCCCTCACGAAGTCCATCGTGTGCGCCTAGTCCCATTCAAAGTGTCACTACAACTGCGAATGGTAGTAGAAGGCATGGCGCTTCCCTAGAAAAGCCTTCTTAACGTCGAAAGCTTTTAGCTCCTATCTGATTCAGATGGAATTCAATTGGATACGGGCCTTAGTTTTGGCAGTTCTGATTGGTACGGATACAGGTGTCTCCGTCTATCAACGGTATTTCGTCGATAAAGTCGATAGGGTGAGATTCTTCAGCACTCTTAATCCTCGTCTTTCCTCACTAAATCGCATCTTTCCAGGTTTCATACGTCTCTCACATCGGAGGATTCGTAGCCGGTGTCCTGCTGGGTGTAGTGGTTCTTCGAAATTTCCGTCGTCATCCGTGGGAAAGGAGGCTGTGGTGGGCCTCACTGGTCGCCTTCGCGTTCTTCATCGCCATATGCGTTGTGCTGATCATTGCACCTGATATGATGAACTTCTAAACCACCTCATGCTTCATTGCATTCTCTTTCAATAAAGTCCAGGACTTCTCATGGAGTTTCTGGAGGACCGAAATGACGACACTGCGAGTCACGGCTAAGCACGCGATTCGAAGCAATCCCTGTGATTTATCAGCTCGACGATCTTTTGGAATAAATTCTCGTTAACAAATGAAGATGGAATCTTTCGTGAAGTTTTACGTCATGATGGCGGGAATAGATGTAACAAGTTTTCAGAATATATACAGTCTAATAATGTCCAAAAGTGCAAAACTTGACTCACAATCATAAGAAAGACTCCCGTTGTGACTTTTGTTTGGATCATGAGA